GATGAGAAGCGGAACTCAACAGCCGCTAAAGCTCTTTTAGTGAACGGGTCGAAAAAAGCTTAATGTTTCGAGTCGTGCTAAAGGTAATAATAGAATATTTGATTCGGCTCTTTCAGTTTTTAGTGAGTTGAAGAAAACAAAGAAATTATTTTGCCGACAAATTTCCGTGTGTATATGAGAGGTTTCATAATCGATCTTGTTCATCATTAAGCGTGTGTTTTGAATTTGCCCGTTTTTGGGTTCGAATTTTACAATAAGCTATTGGCCCGGCATCGTGTGGAATAAAATGCTGCGCGGATAAAGATTCGTTAGTTCAAGTTGTTTACCTGGGATTTAGCTTGAGTAATAATAATCACCTTGAATTCATTTGTATTTACATAGCATATGGTTATTTGTGTGGGTGTGTGTTGATCCAACGGTTCGGAACACCAATTTCACCATTTAAAGGATTTTACTGGCATGATATGAACAGCAAGAACATTTAGGTCACAAAGAGCTTTTATTTATTTATTTATTTATTTATTTATTTATTTGTTTCAGCATCTTTACTAAAGACAGGAACATAATCCAACTTATGGTTGATAACTTGGGTAAAATGGGACCACAACAAAAATAGTAAAAAGTAAATTAAGAATTGATAATTGGCATGGTATACAAAATTATAGTTCAAGTTTATAGAATTCGTATTTAAAAATTAGGGTTCATGAGAAAAATAATGCATCATTAAAGCACTTGAAAGAAAGAGACTGGAAAGCAAATGGAAAGCAGTCGAGCAACACAATGGGGTGTAAACAATCTGAGACTAACTTGAACTAGTGCTCAAGCTTTATACGAACCGAAATCACCGACAAACGAACACCCGAACTCAATTATGGCTCGTTTGTCAATATTAAATTAGTGGAGCTATAGAAAATTTCATAAAACAAAATCCTATTTCCGATCCTTAACAAGCTAAGTTTGGCTCAAACAAGTGATCCGAAATCAAGACTTTAGGATTCGAGTCAAGTTGAGCTCACGAGCGGCTCGTTTGACAACTCAGGACATCGTTATTGAATAAAACAGTAATAGCCCATTAGACCTAGCAAACTCCTGTCTGGCCCATCTTCTTAACAATGAGCCTGGCCCGTTTATCCATGACCAGTTAGTTATGCACAATGAGCAGGCCTTTGTTGCTCAATATGTTCCGGTAATTGTAGTTTTGTCGAGCTTCATGGGCCTGAACCACTCACCTCACGTACTAAAGGGCCTTCAGGTCTGGTACCGGGTCGGGCCCATCCGGAGTGAGTCATCTGTTACTTTGGAATTTGAAAAAAAAAAAAAAAGATGTTCTCTCACTTGCGACTTCGATTCTGGACTGACTGGGCCAAAATTTCAACGGACTCGGCCTCATTTGGAGTATGAGCTGCAACTGGGCTAGTGATGTAATTACGGATCCTACAAAGGCCCATCGCATTTGAGCTCACATGGAGAGCGACCCAATGGAATATTGCATAAGGTTAATTAATTAGATAAACACATAAAATATATGTACTTTACAAAAAAACTATAATCCTAAAATTCATTATGCTTCAAATATACATTGAATATACCATCTTTGATATGTCTTTACTTAGGTAAATAATAAAAATTAATCATATATTAAAAATGAAAATACCTTCTTCGATCAGTAGAGAATGAAGAGCGTACGTGCATACGTGATATTGGCACGGCTCAATTAAATAAACCGAGCTCTAGATCCAATCAGAGAACGCCTTTCTAATTGAACCGCACCAATATCCCGTCTGCTTAGATATAAACGCATTTTTACGCGCCTCAATCTCTCTATAATTTGCTCGATTTTCCATCATTTCAGATGCTGAAACTGCGAGAAAATACACTAAATCACGAGTTAGAGAACACAAAATTTTATTGTTAGATACAAAACTAATGCTCAAAATCATCACAGAGCAAATTTTTTGTAAAATTACAAGCCCATAAGAAGAAGTTTGATGATACACATGAGGACTAATATTATTTGACCTATTGAAGCCAATTTATATAGGCGAGGCATATATATATATATAACTAAATAGAGGGCCTTATTATAAATATTATTTTTTAATTCTTGACTTTTTCTCTTTTCACACATATATATATATATATATATATATATATGTATAAACAAAAAGCATTGAATTTGTCAACTAACCAAACAACAGAAAAGAAGGGATATTTACTCAAGGTCACAAGTAATGATGTAACAAGGCAAGGCTTACTGGAGAAAATTAATCTGAGGCATTATAATTTGTATTTATTATTATTAGGTCGGGGAAAAGCATGATCCTTAATAAACTTGTTTGTACTATTATGAATATGTATATATATATTTCTTGATATTAATATGAAAAATAAAATAGGGAGTATTAATTTAATAATAAACATGGATCTATATGTATATATTAAGAATATTTGAAATTATAAACATGGATCTTGAGGCCCGATGGAGTTTTGGGGGCGAATGACGCGATGGTCCAGGCTATTCAAGCCTTACTCAAACGAGACTGGACAAAATCTGGATCCGACACGTGCATAGGGAAGCGAATTTTGCGGCGGATCACTTGGCACGGTTGGCAACGTCCAACCCAATTGGGCTTCAGCGTGTTACAGTTCCTCCCCAAGGGTTAGGGGAGTGGATGGCTCACGACAGTAGGAGGGTTTCGTACCCCTAACAAGTGTTAATTTAGGCGTTTTGATTTCTTTATTTGCACCCAAAAAAAAAAAGAAAAAGAAATTATACAATCATCCAAAAATTGTGAGAGTTGAAATTTAATTGGTGAGAATAATAAAAGTAATTAATCTCATGCAATTTATATTTTTTCTTTTCCTGAGGAGGCATGATTAGATGCTTGGATTTTGAATAACACACACATTTTCCACTATTTTGCTTTCATTAAACAGTAGTACTAATAGTTCTCATCTAAAAGTCGTCTAACGTGTGTTTCTAAATTAATTATTATGTCAGTGGAATGTTTTGACAGTCAAAATTGAATATTATTTAAATCTATATATATATGGGTGTAATATAATCCATATACTTATTGATGATATATTACAATTAAATAATTAATTAACCTCTTATCATCCAAGAAAATACAAATTTTGTGGGTACAAAGTTATCTGAAATTCCAAAAATTATATATGTTTATTTGTGAAAAATGACTATGTTTTTTTTTTTTTATATACTAGAGACAAAAAAAGGGCACTTCTTATTTATTTATTTATTTATTTATTTTATCTGTGTAAAATTCTATTGACAGTTGCAAAAAAATCAATTTACTCTTAACAATTATATAGTACAATATACTTTCAGCGCATGTTAATGTGTTTGCAAAAAAGGATACAAATTTAATGCAAACTGGGCCACCCAATTCCCTTGTATTGAGGTTATTACTTCAAACTGCTGTAACTTTTCTAATAATATCTACTTGATTAGGATTTGTAGTAATATATGCAGTGGAATTTAATAGTTCTACTTTTCTAATTCTAATTAGACATGTCCACGGGCCGAACCGGCGTAATCAGGTTCCGACCCAGCCCGAACCGGACCCTTAGGGTCGCGGTTCGATCCCAGTTCATAAATTATTTTTTTGGACCTGTCGGTTCGGTTCGGGTCGGGCCGCGAGTCGGACGGGATGGCCAGGTCGCGGAGGGTCGCGGTCCGGCAGTTGGCCACCTCTAATTCTAATAATATGAACTTTTCTAATAATTCTTTTTTCAATTCTACACTTACAAAAGTTTGTTTCTTTTATTTGTTTCCTATTTCATTTTGAGTTTGGAGACTTTATTATATTCATATTTAAGCAAAGAAATAAATAGCTCGCTAAAATTGCCGTTATTTGAGAAATAGTTTTTTTTGGCAGTGTGCCGCTATTTGTATTGATGTGCAACTTAGCCGCTAAATCTCGCTAAATTTCCGCTATCTTTGTAAGATCATAGAGTTGCCTTGGTTGTATTTTGTAGCTACAAACAGCCAAATGACTGCTTTATCTGTTTGGATTTTTAAGGTACAAAAAGGGAACAATATAAACAAACCCCTGACCCTTTTGCAGTTTTCACGTGAAATTCGTGAGCAACATTTAATTTAAAAATTCAACTTTGAAAGCATGTTGGAATTTTGCTCCTTATAAGTTACACAAATTGAACATGTAAATTTGGTTGGTTTTGTGCTGGTTTTGGGCTACAAATTGGGTTGGACTATATCCAAGCCCAGCTGCATGCTTT